GGGGGGGGGGGGGGGGGGGGGGGAGGTACGGCCCCCGCCCCGTTATCGCTCCGGTTCCTGACCTGGGCACGTAACAGCAGCCAGGGCTTCCTGCCAACCGAGCTTTCTGCTAACACAGATGTAAAACACTTCAGGCCAAACAGCCTAAAAGAGCACAGATTTTGCTCTAGAGCCGGGCTACAGCTCACCCAGTAACAGACGTGATTGCAAACGGGCATTTCCATCTGATTCTGAAGGACCCGGATGGGCGGGGCCTGAAATCCACGGGGTTCCTTAAGTGATGATTCCTAGGATTTCAGTCTCTTTTGCATTAAACGTCTGGTGAACATAAAGAAGAAAAACTGCAAATTCAGTGTCATTTATGCCCTCGTTTACCTAATTATATTGCTCCCCGGAGATACAGACAGCTCGCGTTTTATCAACTGAAAGAGATTACGTCTTAAAAACTTGTTTCTGGGCACCACAAACAGCACCGAGCCCTGCCCGTCGGGGATGGATGGAGCCTCAATAGCTGACATTTCTGAGCAGAGACACCTCCAGCGCCAGACAGCCCTGGAGCTGAGCCCCCAGGGAGGCAGAGGTGAGAACGCGGAGAGGGTGTGGGCTTACCTCCGTGGGGTCAAGCCCACTCCCTTCCCCATTGGCCAGAGAAAAGCCCTAGGAGAGACTTTTCATAGTGTGCGAGAACCTACCTGTCCTCACTCCGTATTTCAGCGTGTCCCGGCAGTCCACCAGGATCTGCTCCAGAGACTCGGGGTTGTCCGAGAGCTCCAGGTTGAAGCCCTCCATGCCCTCCAGGAGCTGGTGCGGGTGGTGGAAGTCCAGCACTTTGGTGGATCTGTCAAACGTCTTCCTCACGTAATTGAGGAGGATGTCCACGACCTCCAGCAGGAACTGCATGGTCTGCTCTTCGCCATTCTTGGCGGGCAGCAAATCTGCGGGGCAAAACAGCTGTCAGCGCCTGCTTTGTGAGCGAGAGGCGGAGATGAACGACCATCCCGGGACGTGGAAGCCGCCGTCCCGGGGCAGCCTGGCTGTAGCGGGGCGGGCGCCCGGTCCCGGGTCGCCCCGCTCGCTCCCCGGCGAGTGAATCCCGCGGCTGCCCTCGGGGCTCCCGGCCCCTCTTGCCCCGTGGGGAAGGGCGAGCCCAGGTGGCCCACACGAACGGCGGGGACACTTCCGAGGCACTTCGGCCAAAAGCACGCCCTGCAACGCACACGCTGTGCGGGGCAGTGACCTCCCGGGGGCCTAAAGCACCCCAAACCCGCACCTGCCCTTCTCCTGCAACGCTGACCCCCCCCCGCAAAGGGGCTGATCTCCTTTCCCCACCCTTCCTATCGGTGACCCCGTACCAGCAATCACAGACCGTGTCATTGGTATTTTACTGAGGAGAAAATACATTATAAAACTAGTCTTCTCCTGGAGGATGGATCTGGAGTGAGATCCATCTCTAGATGGATCCATCGCTAGAGCTGAGCTCCAGAGGATCATCCCAAAATACATAAGATTACATTTCGGGAAACTTGGCCGCATCGCCAGTGCGGCTTTCAGCGAACACACACCAACACACACAGAGACCTTCCTTCAAGAACAAGCAAGCAAAAGCACGGTCTGAACGTGGCTGCACTAGCAAGGGAGGCGAGGGCAGACTATTTAGGGACGTGCCCGAGATGGAGCAAGCAGAAGCTGTAAATAGTGTTTACCTCTGGCATACAAATTGGAGAAATCTGTCTCGGTGCGCCGGAACCTGGATTCCTTCTCGCTGTTCTCGCACGCCAGCAGGCCCTTGGAGGACTGCCTTTCCTTCAGGGAGCTAACGATCCGGCCCTTGTCCTCCAGGCTGTTGGTCCTTTGCAGGAACCCTACATTGTTATTGCAAGGTGCACAGGTCAGAGTTTTCTCACTTCCCAACATGCTTAGAAGTAACTAAAGCAGCTCTCTAGAAAACAGTTCAAAGCAGTGTTGGCTCTGAATCTGACTAATGAGGTCAGGAATAAGAGTATTTATGGGGATTATTTGCCTCCAGGAGGGAGAGCTCAAAATGCCATCAACTGCAAAAACCCAGCCATGCAAAAAACAAATTTTCGTCATTTAGTGCAGTGGTAAATTCTTATTAAGTCGATCAGACAGATTCCACTTCAGTAACCAGCCACTGGAAGAGAGTTCAGGATGAGTCAATGCTATTCCAGCCTGCAGGCGAACTTTATGGACCTAGCAGACAGGGGCAATGATGTGTGATTAAAATCAGGGCCACTTTCAGTTCTCCTCGTGGTGCTTTCACGCACAAAAGGCATGAGAACAAGCACCCATCCTGGAACAGCCGTCCGGAGAGCGCCAGCGCTCTGAGGACACCGGTGGCACTCATCACTCCGCCTTCCTGTTCTCAGTAGGAGCCAGCACGTGCTCGGGAGATGCGGATTTTCCACCTGAAAAGATGCTTTGATACTAACACTCATCATCCCTGGGCTCCACAGGAGCTCGGCTCTCACCAGAGGCGCAGCCCTGGCGCCCGGTCTCAACTGCCGTTGTTACGTGCAACAGCGATAACAAACCTCCTCGCCCCAAGAACCACGGTGGTGGGCGCCACGCAGGGCCCGTGGCCAGTAACTCCCCCAGACTCCTCTACTTTAACAAGGCAGGGAGAAAAAATAATTTTCAGGATGTGATCCATTAAATCCATGCCAGCTAAAACACGCACTGTGTTGGGCTTTTCCTTATTAACGAAGACAAGGGATGTAGACCTCCCAGGCTGCGGCGAGCGCGCCCGGATGTTCGGAGCAGACAACGCGGCAGTGCCGGCCTCCTTTTTTTCTTTCTTTTCTTTAAAACAAGTAAGAAATGGAACAAACGCTCCTCGCGGCTGGGCATGCCCGCCAGAGAGAAGGACTTTGCAGGGAAGAAAACCGACGCCGTCACTTCTCTCGCCCGCGTCCCCCGACGTCGCTTCTCTCCGGCGCCCTCCGTTCTCCGGCCACGTGTCCCCGCTCTCCGGAGCCCCGACGGCGAATCGGGACCGCCGGCTCCTCCCGCCGGGCCCCCTGCAGCTTGGGCAGCCCCCGGGGGTTGCATCTCCGTGCGGAGACAAGCGAGCGACACTGAGCGGGTCCCGGCACGGCACCTGCGCCTCGGAGCCCGCAAGAGCCACCGAAAATGGAGCCCTCCCTGGGCCGCCAGCCCCTTCTGCCTCAGTCGGGAACCCAAACGAGTCTCCAAGAGGGTCGTTCGCGGGCAGGTTTGCCTATTGCCTAGCCCATCCTTTCCGTGAATACGTCGCGTTTTGACTTTTATTACTGATCTTCTACTAATAGGAATCTCTCTATGATGGGATTTTTAGGAATACGAGTTATACGAGAAAAAAATTATTTAAGGAAAACTCTCTTCATGCGTAAGTTAAGCATAGCCGTCCAGGATCGATGACGGTTTTTTGGCTTGGTTTTTTTTTTGGTTTTTTTTTGTTGTGTTTTACCGGTCCTCGCGGCGATCACCAGCTCCTCCAACAGCGAGTGCTGCTCGCCTGCTCATGAGGTGCAGCAGCCGATACCGAAGCAGGTGCAGTCTAGACTGGATTGCAGAGCGATCCTCTTCCCCCAGGTCTTTGTGGCTTCATTTTGCTTTATTTTTCCGCCTGTCTGTTGTCTAGGCTCCCGGTGGCGATGCTCAGTGGGAAGAGCTACGTGAGAGGAGACGTCTGCAAGAAGAACGGCGCATCCCCCCGAGAGCCGCGCTCCCCGCCGCACAACCAGCGCTCTTCTCGGCGTGCGGACACACGTCCCTCGGAGGCTCCGGTGGGAAAGGAGAGGGCAGCGCTTCAGTAACCGAGAAAGGCTGCAGTTGCCGCCGGTTCGGCTCTCACCGGGCTCAGAGAGCTCGAAGCTTCGCTGAAGGGTCTGGCCTAACTAGAGCTGCGCCAGGGAGGCGGCAGTGAGAGCATGCGGGCAGCACGGAGCTCGCTTGTCCAAACGACTTCGCGGCGGTTCTTGCCCGTGGGGGCTCCCCCGGCCCCGTTATTTTCTACCGTAGCCGGCGGCAGCGAGCTCAGGTGGCGAGGACGAGCCGGGGCTCGGAGCGGATTCGCACGGGGCCCCTCAGCGTGGGCCGCGTGGGGCGCCTCCAGGGCAGGGAGAGAGGGGCGGAAAAAATAAAAGGGAAAAAAATCCCGAAGGGAGGATCTTGCTGCCACCCGGCACCAGCTCACTCGGCTGCAGATAACGTGTCGGTCGCTCAGGTCCCTCGGTCACGGCACCGTCTCACGGAGCTGGTGGGTTCGGTCCACGGGTGAGCCCAGCGGGGCCGGGGCAGCCCCACGCTTTGCAGTCGCCAGACCCTCGCATTCCCCCAGCTCCTCTGGCGGGAGGCTGAGGGACGCTCCCAGCGCCCACCCGCGTCCCGGGGGCTCCTTCCACGGCGAGGGGAAGTGCGTGGCTGCAGGAAACCTCTCGTCTGTATCCCATGCGGGAAGTCATGACGGTGGGTGTAGGAGAGATCCCGCAAGTAGCAGGGCAAGGACCAGCGTCCACGCTGCTTCTCCTGTAGCGGCGGAGAGCGCAGCCTGTCCCGCAGCAGCAGGTGCCTCCCGCAGGTGTTCACCGACAGGTATTTTCATCCACGCCCCTTCAGAGACCGAGGATTTCAAAGCCGAGTAGACCGGACTGGCGAGGGAGTCTGTCGGTTCCCAACGTGCCCGCAAATCCGGCGTGATTTCGCATCAGGCCTCGCACAAGGCAAGCGTGTGAACCCCACTCGGCCCGGCCGCCCCGCGGGGACCTCAGCTGCCGGGGCCGGGACACACCCGCCGGGCGCCGGTCCCTGCCGGGGCCACCGGGCGATGCGCGTCGGTGGCGGCTCCAGGATATCCTGATGCTCTCCACGGCCGGGGGGTTCAGTTCCTCCGGCGTGACTTGGCAGCAAAAAGCCCCGCTGACTCCGGAGACGGGCCGAGTTTCTAACACACATGGCTGCTTCTGACACCCCGCTCTCCCGCGTTGCTCGCTGGGCCGGGAATGGTGAGCCGGCCGGGTCCACACAGCTGGGGACGCACCTCAGCAACCTGACCACGTCGAGTATTTCCACACCGGTTTGCCACGCAAACGTTAACGGGATCGGTCCCAGCAGCGACACTAATTGCCGAAGGGGGAGTGAAAGGTGTAGCATGGCAACTCCAGGCACAGGGGAACACCTGCCCATACTTTGCCCACCGTCACAGTTCATTAAACCGCTTTAAAATATGTTCTTTTTTTTTTCTTTTTAAGTGGATATATGCAGAGACGAGGAGCACAGGGTGTTGGTAGCGGCGGTGACTTTCAACCAGAAAGGAAAGGAGCTAATCCTTAAATCGGTCAGTTGTTTGAGAATAAACGACATACATCTGGGATGCGTAATTACTGAAAATGTCAAACACATAATTTACAGCACAGGTGGAAGAACCGACTTATTGTTCAAGACCTGCCGTTTCTCTGAGATCAACCCTTATCTAAAGTTTGCATTCAAAATGAATCGATTTTGGTGTGATACACACAGAAAGAACCATTCCGAGCCGCCTGGTTTACTGTAGCTTTGTGACTGCACAATATTTAGGGTCCGGAGCGATGTCCTGTGAAAGGTAAGGACGAGGGGACATCATCTGTAATACTCAATCGTCAACTTGTTGAGCACGTTCAATTAAGATTCTTGGCAACCTTAATACTTCACTGTATACATTTACCAAAGGCAACCTTCCCTCTGTCATTGTGAAGGTGTTAGATTCAGGCAGGAGGGCTCATACGAGCAAACACAGTGGTCGCGACCGAATCCGATTATTTCGAATCACCGTCACTAATCAGGACATATTTTTCGTGTAAAACAGGAAAAAAAAAAAGCCAGAAAAGGAAAACGGAGAACCAAACCCGAGAAAAAAATACAGCAGCCCTGCTTGTTTTGAACTCCCTTCACAAACGCTCTACTACAGTCTCTTTTGCCTTTCTCAAATCCAAAATGGTGGGATATTTCATTTTCGGTGTATTTGATCTCATTAAGAGAAGCTGCCATGTCCCTCTGTAACCCCGGTAGTCTAGCAACACGGAACAAGCCTAACTGTGCGTTACTTTATCAGTTCTGCTTGCCGGGCTAAATTAAAATGATGATGAAAAAGCCCATCGCTCCAGCCACTGAAGGGACTGGTAGGGAAATGGTCCATTAAACCCAGATGAGGAGCTATTTATAGAACTAAGCGACTACTCGTTAATGTCGCCTGCGGGTTCCAGTGAAATCTCTGATAGACACAGGACTAAACATTCGCACCCTGATTCTTTTCCAGTCCAAACATCCAGGTGACGAAACGTTTAGCGAATGAACTTCGACTCGGGCAAGTAGGGCAAAAGGCTTAAATATATCTTTGCTTTGAAAAAAGGCCCGTTTCTCCCACGAAATAAGCTCCCATCCCCCCAGAAAGAGATGGCTGGGGAAAATGGAAAATAATTTCTATTCATAAGGGGCACGGGCTGAACGATTCTCCCCATCAGAAAATGAAGATTTGACTGTTTGTCTCCGAAAGCAAAGGCGCTACAGAGAAACCTGGAGAAGGAAGACAGCTTGTTATCTGCAAATGAATCTCTTGCTATAACGTTGCGATCTGATTGTGCATTTGTTTCCCTTCCTTCATTTCATGTGCCTGCGCGCTGACTGGCTGCCAGCGCTATCTTACCAGCACAGCAAGCTGACGAATTGCTCTTTAATAAGGCTCTCGTTAATCTTTTTCCCCCAGGAGATCCGTATTTTCTAGTCAGATAAGGTTGAAAAATTTCAGACAGTGAGAGGCGGCCAAACCCCCCGCCCGTTCCTCGCCGCCGGGCCCCGC